ATTTAAGAAAGGACTTGTATCGTTGAAGTTCCTCGGAAAGAATTTATACCGGAAATTAACAAACGAGCAGATACGCAACAATATGTAAGGCGTTCTGTTTGATGAGCTATTACAGAAGTGGATGTGTTCTAATTTCGTTCGAGTTAGTGCTCAGGGATAATTCTCGTGGAGTTTAACTAAACACTGACAATCCTTCAACAAAACGGAATTGATTTTTAGTGGTAACATAGTATACAGGATAACAAGGCCAGCAATTCCAAGAGGGCTTTAAGTGGCTGATCTAGTGACCTACGTCTACCCTGTAGATCCGAATTTGCCTCAAAAGTTTAATTACAAATTCGGTTCTAGAGAGGTTAATGTGGTACACATAAAAACCCGCTATGTAAGGGACGTATTGGTTTCATGTAGATAATATAGTGAATATAGTCCTGGCGCTTTCAAAATGTAGCTATTTTCTTACGTAGAATCATTGTTTAATAGTGAATATATCCGTTTTGCTTTGTATACAATTAAATTTCTATAAATTACTTTTATATGAAATTATACGGGCTTTTTTATGGTTGGTTAATATAGCAAATACCGTTTTATGTTACGTGTGCTAAATGCATGCCTATATTGATTTAAATTTCATAGAACACGATATTTTAACATCTGTCAGAAATGGATTAAATATTGCTAATTGTGCTGATTTTAGGATATATTAACATTTGGTAATTCAGTAAATTAATTGATTATTTAAAAATAACTACATTTTTACACTAGAGAATGAAGCATACAAAGTCATTAAACTGTTTATATGTCTCGGTTTCATATAAAATTGACAATGACTAATGATTTTGTTTGGCTTGTTGCATGATCATGAAACAGTAGTTATTTTTCTTCCACAGAATATCATGAAACACTACTTATTCAGGTTTTATGTTATATTTCTGTGTTTCAGTATAACATGTGATACAATAAGAGTATTAATAATTTTGAATAAAATAATTATCCAGTTCTAATCTTGTAAATAGTCTAATAAGATTAACGCTGAACAATCTTCACCGTTCTCTTATCAAGTATATTGTTTTAAGCTGAGTCACAAAAATGTGTACTTTGAACCATAATTATAAAAATACTGAAATTGCAGTGTTAGATATATACGTAATAGGATATGATGGTCTGTTAGACTCACAGAGAAGGCATAAGCCAGGCCAAAACAACAAACTGGATTTATACACCGAAAACCTCACAGCTCAGTCTATGTTCGAGTTGATTCATAACTCATGTTATCATTTTATCTTGGGTTTCAACTATTCATGTTTCTCCCATAAGAAATTAAATTAATATATAGTTTCATAAACGTGGCAGTAAATTCCGTTACTCGCTTCAAAGAGCCAGAACAAGTTCTTATGGCGGCGGATTTTACTGATTGCCATCCCTCTGATTAATAGATTAAAATCAAGGATAATTATTCCTGAACCTAAGTTATCTCTGACTTGGCCATTTAACCCACATGCGTATAAGTTACAATTCGGGTGGAAAAGTCCAGTTACAAATCCGAAGAATAAATATTTGTTTTATAACACTTCAGATACCATGCAAAATTGACAAAATTAGTGCACAATCGAATATTTGTAGAATTGAAATTTTCAGCATTTTCCTTTCAAATAGTATTATTTCATTCTGTTAACTTCTCGTAAAGTTGGTCTGAAGACGATCCTTCTTTCCGACGAAAAAATAAAACTAGGACCATGCATCTTCAAATTTATTAAGTTGTGAAGCGAATGTCACAAAAACATAAAGTTTTAAAATAATTCTTTTCGTTTCTACCTAAAGAAATTGCAACTTATTTTTAGAACAAAGTATGAAATGTCTGTTGTTAATGAACTAAGTTTTCTTAGATACAATTACTGTGATCTTTCCTAGCATGAAATGCTGAAATTATCTTTTCGTGATTACTTATGCCAACTATTTTGCTTAAAGACTCACCTCACAGTACTGTCTCTTATTCTGAATATATTGAAATGAACGCCTTTTGAAAAGGAATCCCCAACTGTTCACTTGTTGTTATTAGTTTTGATATGTGATAGCAACAAACTTAGCATTTGGATGTGCTCTCTGACATGTCTAACTTTGACGATAGCAAGCTCGTTTTCCTCACCAATAAAGCATGGTTGGCATAAGCGTGATTTTTGCTCTGTCCAACCAACGTGCAACGTTCATTAATTGCACCAATTAACATTTCTTAAGGATGTTATGGGGAGTTACGTGCTTAGATAACACATAGAATCCAAGGAAACCCCGTGAAGAATGAAAGTATCTCCCGAAAGTAAACAAATTTCTTGAAAAGTAATTTAAGTACATGTTAGATTTAACTTGTTTCCTAAACATCATGAACATATACAAACTAACTTGCAGTCCGTAACAGAAACCCATGTACACAACCTTTTCTATGTTTGCAATTTTCAAGTTTTAGGAAAATAACCTACATTGCTTATTTTCAGAAGTTGTTTATAACTTGGTCTATTGATTGTAATTTAGATGTTACTGATAATATATCTATTCACATTTTCATGAAGCAAAACTTCGACTTATAAGAACTTTTTTTACAGGGATATCCACAAAAATCATTTTGGCAAGATTTAATATTTCTTGAAAATATTAGGAAGTGCCATTAGCTTTTTAGTTGAGATTTAACAATAAACTTGTTACATTTGCAAAAGAAAAATTGAGGTAGTGGTAAAATTAAAACAAAAAAAATGTTACCAGAGAAGTGCTTGGAACCTTGCCTTTTTATATTTAGGATAATAATATCGATAGTGGCATGATTAGTAATATAATGATGACATTAATCTCTTGGAAATTTCTAACTGTACTGAATATGTTAATGTATTACAAAATATTTGTTAAATGACTTTTATCGTACGTGCAAGGTAACACATTTAGGTTACCATAATTTGGATCACGCGTGTAATATGGAGAGCAACCCACTCAATAGTGTAACTGAAGAAAGGGATCTTGGCATATAGTGATAAACGAGTCACTCAAAACAATGTACTTTGTTGCCACGAGTATAGCTTATAGAATTGTAGAGTGTATACATAGATATTGATTACAGGTCAAAAGAGGTAATTATCTTTTTACACAAATCAATAATTAGGCTTCAATTGAAATATTTTGTACATTTTTAGTCTCCTTATCTAAGGTAGGATGTTAACTTATTGGGTATTGAAGGGTTATCTTATTATCTCTTGATAAAAGAAAGGTAACAAGTGATCTTATTGAGGTTTACAATATTATACGTGGAAACGTTAGGATATAGACCCATGATTTTTTTGTGATGTATTCTAAAGATAACAGTGCGAAAGAATACATGTTTTAACACTTAGTTAACAGGGTACTCTTGACTTAAGAAAGGATTTTCTGTCAATAGAGGCTGACGCTTTACAAGAAGAGAAATATACAGGGCGGGTTTAAATTGTGACTTTCCTCAAAGGTGTGTATGCAAGGTCACCTTTGAAGAACCATGTGGGCCATTGTTGTCCGTATGTTATGTTTAAATTCTACATGACAAAATCGTTCTAAATGGTAAAAACGCACAAGATATGTTAGACTTCCGTGAATGGTAAAAGTAAAACATATCTGGTACCGATGATATGTGTAACACTAGTGGTATATTAGAATGTTGGAGGTATAAATATGAATGGCACAAAGAGTGTATGTACTTTTCTAATGTAACAATAAATGATTTCTAATTCGTATTAGTAATTTTTCTATGCAAATATTTTGCATAGCCAAGCCTCTCACCAGTATAGCACGATATAATGGAAAAATAGGGACAACATAGGGCTTGAATTAAGAAAAAATAGTACGGCAAAGTAGGGCCATTCTTTTCGTAAATTAGAACGAAATATAGACATAAATCAGAAGATTACATATATTTTATTGTATTTTACAGTGTACTTATGAATATATCAATATTTGTACCTGCCAAACAAGTGATTATGACAAGGTGGACTTACTTGCCTTCGTTTTTAACCACTTAAAATAATAAGTAGATACGAACGTAGGCAAATAAGTAGCATCAAGAAAGGGACAGTACACTTGAATCACACGATTTTAAGTACCTAAAAAATTCACTTATACAAATATTTTAACAACCTAAAAAGCAGGTT